TGTCATCAAAATCAAGAAAGATGATAGGGACCATCGATCACCTTGTTCTATGGGCTCACTTCCCTGACCCTAAAATTGATTTGATTATAGATATTTAAAAATAGTTTTCAGCTTGAAATCGTTCATTATTTATTGGTTTCTGTGAAGGACGATGTTTTAGGATCTTTTACCACAGTCTGACCATTAGTATGGAAACTGAGTTGTCAGTTACTATACGGCTATATTGACTCGGTAAGGCTGTTTTCATAGCCCACGATTTGGCCCGTGAATGAGCGAGCGGGGGCGGCGCTTGTCCTTTGTTTACAACTGAATCTTGGTCGATACCGCCGGACGAGTAGTCCCCCGGTCGCTCGCTCGCTCGCTCGTGGGCCAAACCGCGGACTATGAAAGCAGCCTAAGGAATTTGAATAGTCAGTTATTATTATGCCGTCAAGCAAAAGCTGTCAGGTAACGGTACCTACTAAAATGGTAAAATTCTAGTTTTTCAATCGACTCGAATTCAATCTGTCCTTTTAAGTGGCCTCAGCACCAGCTTAGCCTATCGATTGTTTTCGTATAAATTGCTTTGAATGAGAGTAGAAAATGGGAAAAAATGACTGGGATAGGTGTAAGAGGAAAAGGCACAGTGCTGGTTCTATAATGAAGGGATTCTAGGCAACGGTCATTCTACAGGTTCCCGACTTCTCCAGGACTTCGCGTTCTCATGTGGGAAAAACAAGCGAAGATACAGATTTTTGGAAAAGTTCCTGTTTTTACCACTCCCTTTCGAATACACTACAAGTATTCATACTTTGCTAATATGTAACAGCCCCCTTCAGCAGCCGTTCTTGAAAAAAAAANAAAAAAAAAGCGTCATTTCAGACTGTTTTGAACTTATACCACCAGTCTGGCTGGGTTAACCGAGTTTATCTCCAAGTCTTACCACCGAAAATCAGTGCAATTTTGGAGATTTTAGTCGGACATTTTTGCGGTTTTCATCATGATACCATGGGCTTCATCGTAACATTACACCTACATATTTTACTAGTTTTTACTAGTAGTTTTAGGATTTCATATGAGAACTAACCTGAGCTGGGTGAGTGGAACCGCCGGGTCCAATGCATCCCGTGTGAGGCGATGTACGCCAGTAAACAACCTCGCCGTAATCAATAGTCAGTCGAGTAAGCAACCGTCGTTTAGGGGGAAAACATGCGTTCCAAAGCGACCACTTAGATTCAAAAATACCTTTCAGTAAAATAGCTAGAAAAAAATCTGAACTGAAGAAATGAGCTTAGATGTTTCCTGAAGAACTTGAATTTATTGTTGTATTAAATTTTTTTCAAGAAAATTCTCCAAAGTTTTAGACACTTACCTTTCATTTCACCTGATTCGAGATGTTACACTCCACTGGAGCTAAACTTGAACAAATGAACCGGAAAACCAAAGGATATCTCGCCTTCGTAGCAGATTAACTAGTATTCCGGTCCCAGCAGAACCTCAAAAAGACCTACGCCTTTGGAAAATTAGTAAGTAAATAGAATAAGGGATGGGGTAGGGGCCCGTTTGGATGCATATATGGTCCAAAAAAATCGCTCTCAGTTACGCAGGGGAAAATCGGTCAAAGTTTATTTTCACGCTATGAAACTGAGCTTCTGCAACACCAGTTGGCACTATGGTATAGATGGATTTTAAGGAATAAAAGAACCCCTTCAGGCCCATAAATCATCTCTTATCGGACATCATGCATTCCGCCACTTGGTTTTAAGAATTAACATTTAAAAAAAAGCTGATTCCTTTGAAGAACGATGGATCCCATCCGGTGTGCCCAAATGGGATCCATTCTCTGAGGAAGACACCTATTAATTTTTTCAGACATTTAAGGGAATACTCTTACATTAAGATTCATAGACAATTATTACACCTGGGAAAGTTGACTTCCAGGTAACACGACTTTCCTATGAATATGTATGGTCTCACAATAGGCCTACAACTTCTCAGGAAGAACTCGAATAAGCACATTACATCATTACTGCATGTGAAATTTCTGGTATGATATTTTATTTCATGCCCCAATAAGAAGCCTAGGGACTGCGAATAGCCGAAAATCGACTTTTTATATAATCTATCCCCTTGAATTCCTTGTAATTATTCATGACCTCTGACTAGAGCACTAAAGCTACTTCCTAAATGTTTACTTCCAAAGCCCAAGAGCTGTCAAAATCGATCAGAAAAGATCGAGACCTCCTCTGAGCTTTACCCTAGCCTGAGAAAAGGAAGAAGATGAGGTTTGTTTCCCAAAACATCCGGTATCGTTGAAATGGGCGTTCTCGTAAATAGTTCCGTAATAGCAAACACGCCACGAGCAGGCGTACCATCCCCTCACATTTTCACAATTAGCTTACCACCGGTGGTACCATCCACAACTCCTTTGATACCCTTATCAGTGTGCTTCTTTTTATGTCTCTGTTAGCTAGTTTACAAATGAACAATGGTCTTTTCCCGTGCATAATCGTTGTTGCCCTTGCTCGTCCCGTGATTCAAACCCCTCACGAAAGTCACAAGAGGTTCCAATCACGGTCTATTTCTTTTTCTGTTCTTTGAGAGTGAACATTGGTAACTATTTGAACTATCTTCTGATACTCAATCTAGAACTTAGTGGACTACTCGATATCCCT